GCAGGCAGGCAGCTTTGCTACATTGTAACAACAAGGCCAGCCACCCATCCATACAAGCAGGCTGTCCCACAGTCTTGTGCTCTTATGGCAAACCTACACTACAGGCCAAGGCTGACTCCTTTCAACGAAATCTTTAAGGCCGGTAGAGGTTGGTTGTCTCATCTCTTTTAGGAAAATATACCCCTAAACTTATGACCCTATCTCTAAAGTCCTGTAAGTGATCCAATATCAAAGTCAAAGAAGTCGTGATTTGAGTCTGTCCCATCACGTCAGTCTTAAGTCAAAAAGAGGACGCACAAAAGACAAAAACAAAACAATTACAAAACAACACTGGATCCTCCTGGCGCGTGGAGGCAAAACCAAACCAAAGACAACAGAGTGAAACTGTTTTACTGGTGCTACCTGCTCATCTATTTACAGAACTGAGATGCCAGGTGCATCACCACATCTATCTACAGAAAACAGAGAGATCCGACCCTAATACAGAAGGGCCCTGGGGACGTCTCCCCAGGTACCCAGCTGTGGATTTTCCGTGCCTCTGCATAAACCGTCTACAGGCTCTCACAGATTCTGGGCCCATTTACAGAAGGATATCCAGAACAGAAAGACACAAAACAAAACTTACACACAGAAAATAAACTTACCAACCAGCTGAAGGCTGTACAGGACGGTGGTCCTGTTGGGCTTGGGGTGATCCCAGAGAGCCCCCAAATGTTATGCCAAGATCACAAAGTCCCGCCCCCTAAAGCCCATCAGAAGACCAAGTCCTGTACATAAAAGCAAAGGAGCCTTTCTTCTTACACAAGTTTACAAACTCAGTCTCTCCATGTGTGTCTAGTGTATTGGAGTGACCCAAGGGCCCTGAGCTCGTTAGAGTTGGGTTTTTAAAGTAACAAAGGTGGGGGTGAGGGATTTCTAAGGTTTAGGACCCCTGATTGGCTGACTTTTGTCTAGGGGTGTCCTGGTGAAAAGCAATGGGTGTGTGCTGGCAGATGATCCTATCTACAATGGTTGGAAAGTTAGGAATTTCCTTTGGATGTCTGTTCCCAGGTGGTACCTGGGTGGTCTGAGTTTGTGGTCTTTAGCTGAACCAGGTATTGCCTCAGGGTAAACTTCAGAGGCCTCTACTGAGCTTGCCCTTACTGGATCCTTCACTCAGAACAGGTACCTGAGCCTGGGTAGAGAGCAGAAGGAATTTTTTCAATCAAGGAGTAATGTCTGCAAACCCTAAGCCAGGTTTATAGTTTCTCACAAAATTATAAGGAATTAGCAACAGCACAGAGGAAGAAAGGTAAGGTATTTACAGGTGAAAAGAAGGAAAAAACATTTGTGGAGGTGTTTGAGATTGTGGGGGCAACCATCATCCATCATGAGACTGACTTTCTGATGGATTTTTCAAGATGGGTTCCCATGGAGAAAGAGTCAGCTTGAGCTTGCAGCAGGATGGGAGGGTTCCAGAGCGCCCTGCTGCGGCGCATGTCAGGGGCGCACCACCCAGAGGACGCCCACCCGTGCAGGTCCTAGGCAAAGCTGAACCTAAGAAGGCTGAAGAAAAGTGTATTTATCTTCTTCTAGAGGGGAGGGAAAGGGAAAGCAGAGCATTGTAAAAGAGGAATAAGAAAAGAAATGATGACACTTTCCATTTTGAGGGCTACTGAGGCACTGGCCGCCCATCAGGGAACAGTTTCAAAGTTGGTAAGTTTGGAAGTTTCCAGAAAGTGGGTGCATCATTTGGAGTAGCATTCTCAAAGTCGGCAGGAAAGGGCCCAGCTTTCTAGTGTGAGGTCTGGAAAAATACAATAAATTAGAAAAAGTTAAGAAGCACACCAGGAAAAAACAAACAAAAAACAAAGAAACATCTTCTCTGTGACTAAAGATGCAAAGTCATCAAGAATTCCTTCTTTAAACAATTCTTAATGTTCTCTGATATTTGCTGTTAACATGCCATGGGTACTCAGAGGTGACAATGTTCTTACGTGGGCTAATACTCATGGAGAGTTTAGAGGTCAGTGGGGTTGCTGAGGGGTCCCATACCCAGAGCTTTTCTGGGTGCTTAGCCCAGTGCCTTGCATGGAACGGGTACCCCACAGATGGAGCTGGTCGCACCACCCCTATAAGGAATGGCTCTTCATGTATAGGACAAGACAGTGTTGGACCAGTCTGAAAAAAATGTCACCTGAATCTATATGGTGGGCAGAACCAAAGCAATGTGTACTTTGCCTTGTTTGGTTTCTTTTAGAACTACCTCTTTGTTAGTTCAGAAGTCCTCAGGAAGAGCCCTCAGGAAGTCATGTCCCTTAGGCCACATATGCACAGAGTCCTCTGGCTTTGGGTTATAGCTGTGGCTATAAGGTGTATGTCTGTGAGTCTGTCCGTGGATGATCTCTCCACTTGTTTATTGCTAGTAAAGATTTCTATTTTAAGACTGGCCAGAGATAAGTGGCGTTTTCTCTTCTAAGAGTGTATGTTTAAGTGGTGCTGTTTGGCGAAAGAGAATGCGTTTTCTTCTGGCAGGATTTGCTGTGTTTCCCATCTCCTGCCCAGATGACTCCTGGGTCACTTCCACTTGGTCGGAAGTCCGATTCCTTTCTGGGTTGGAGCCCACCTCTGTTTTGAGCCCACAGGCCCCTCTGTCATGCCTGAAGTAGTCTAGTTTCAAATCAAGAGGCTAGTGCTGGTCCATGCAGCCACAGCTTCATCATCATGCCTGCAGGCAGCTCACCGCCAAATCGGTTCCCATTATGTGGTAGCCGAATACTCATGCCTTCATAAATACCAGTCTCCTTTATTCTAGAGAAAAAAATTCTTTATATAATAATAGAGCGGCCGAAAGGACAACCAGTTCTGGCATCATAGGGCTGTCTGTCCTCCTGACCAAATTCTTCATTCCTCATGCCTTGTCTGCATTTAAATATTCTGCTTAAGTTATTAACAGGTTTCTCCAGTCAGACACACACACACACACACACACACACGCACGCACACCTCCCACCCGTCAGCACACACAAACCCTAAGTGTGTTCTGTTTGACTTTGAGGACTCATCAGTATGCTGACAAGCTAACAACCCAGCTGTCCTACTGTTTCTCAGAATGGCCTCGCTGAGCCGTACTGTAAACAAAGCTACTTATGTTTCCCCAGAAAAGGTGTATTTGGGTGTGTGTGTCCTCTATTTAAATACCATCTTCATTTCTATGAATTTCTGGCCTGTCAATCTTGGTGGTGCTTCTTCGGCGTTACTTGACTGATTTTGGCAGTCCATCTGGAAATGCGGTTTTGTTTAGGACGTGTGATAATAGCGAGAGTAGCAGTCTCGTGTTAATAGTTCGCCTTTGAATTTAGAACTAGAAAACAAGATGCTGATTGCAATAATTTGCGTTTGTGAAGCAATTTAGTACAATCCTTGCACATGTTCGGTGATACGGATTAAATGCATTTAGCAGTTTAAGAGGCCGGCAATTATTACTTTGAAAAATAGAGACTTCAATTGTAACGATATCATTCATATTTCCCTTCCATGGGGATTTGTCCCAGCACAGTATTGTCTCTGTGCCTTCAGCTCCCGAGTTCTTCCCAGTCATGGACCTCAGTCTCCTAGGTCCAAAGGCCTGGGTGTTGGCTGTAATGCTGCCGCCATGGTGATCTGCAGGAGTATTAGCACTTGCAGACTGCAGTGACCTGGGGAGAATGATGTTGGAAATGGAGCTTCACAATAAAAGCATTCCAGTTGGAGTAAGGTCCACCAGCCCAGCGAGTGACTTGGGACCAGCTTACTGTGCTCCTAGCAGATGCAGGCATCCGGGGTCAGAGTGTGGCCCTTTCTCTGGGTAGCAGCGTCGGTCTGCAGTTACTCCTGACTCCAGGCCTCTTCCCCTTGTATGACTGTACCCTTACCACTGACTGATATAGTTCTAGGCTGTGGGCTCATTTCCAGGTTGGCATGGCATCTTTTCCATTCTTTGTCAGGATGGCTTTGTACTTCATGTCTCTTAGGCCTCCAGCTTGACAATAGTCTGTCTCTCTGGCAGGAAAGAGAGGCTGAGTGTGACTGAGGGCAGAGAGTGGTCAGGATGGGAGGAAGATCAAGCTTGGTGTTCTGCCGAGGCCCTACATCTATGACATCTTGACTGGCACCTTCTCTGACACCTGCTAAACTCTGGATCCACTCTAAGTAAATTAATGAATTATTACGGGTCCCTGGGCTCTACCCACCAACTCCCTCAGACTCCTACATGTGGGAAAGGCTAAAAGGAAGTCACTTCCTGCGGCACTGTTAGGTGCTCCGGCTCCTCTGTGAAAGACCCACTGTTTACCAACTAGCTCCTTGGCAGGGCCTGCTTTTGACTTGTCAGAGTTCCACCTCCCTCCCTGTGGAAGGAAGGGCATGCTATCAACACCTCTGGGGGGCTGCCATATTCTCCTGTGGCACTTGCTGCGAGTCTCCTGTGGTGACTCTACTGCTGGGGCAGGGAGACTTCATGGCCTCAGGCCTCAGGCTGGGGCTCCTGGGCTGGTGTTCTTGCTAGGTCTGTGATGTGGGAGCTTCCGAATTTCCCTGGTCTTCAGTTTTCACACATTTTAGGAGGAAACTCCTAAGAATTGGTACAGCCTACGTGCTCTGTGCAATTGTCTAGTAAGGATTGGTACAGCCTACAGCTCTGTGCGATTGTCTAGTAAGGATTGGTACAGCCTACAGCTCTGTGCGATTGTCTGGTGGGGATTGGTACAGCCTACAGCTGTGTGCGATTGTCTGGTGGGGATTGGTACAGCCTACAGCTCTGTGTGACTGTCTGGTAGGGATTG